AAAAAAAAAAAAAAAAAAAAAAAAAAAAAAAAGTAAAATACCACCACTCTTGTCATTTTGGAAACTATGTATTTTTTCATAAAACTGTTATTATTATTTATTAAACTGTCTATTATTATTTGAAAACAAATACTTAAAACATTTTATCTTTCATTTTCCTTTCTAATATGGTAAATAAAACTAGATTAACTCCCATAAACAAATTCTTTGGGATCTTCTGCCTTTTGGAAAAGGGGTAATGACACCAAAAAGTGTGATGGCTACTGACCTGATCAAAACCCTCACTTTAAAGATGAAAAACAAGATGTGTGTGGTGGTGCACACTTGTACTCCCAGCATTCTGGGATCACAAGTTTGAGTCCAGTCTGGGTAACCTGAAGAATTACTTTAGGGTAACTGTCTCAAAATAAAAATTTTAAGGGCAGGATGGGGTAGGGACGTAGTTCAGTGTGAAGATATGGGTTCAATCCCCAGTACCACCAAATAACAATAATGACGATGACGATGAAGATGATGACAACTATCTGAGAGTTCTCTGAAAAACCACTTAAGATTCCACTTTCAGGAATATTTCTATTGTAAATATAAAGCCAAACAGTCTCTAAATTTTAATATCAGACTGACATTTAAGAAGTGTTTGGTGAAACAGAATCCTTGTTCTTTATTAATAATTCACAAAAATCATGGTCTCAAACATTAGTTCTTCAAAACAAAAAACCATTGCTTGACAAATAATGCATCAGTTACTCAGAAACATTCATAGGAAACCAACCTAATGAAAGTATCTCGAACAGCTTGTTCACTTGCTCCAATATATTTGCTGAGCAACTCTGGCCCCTATTAGGTAAAAAGAAGATAAGAGATATAGTTAAAAACAAAATATAACTGTGGTCTAAATGAATTATGGGTGCTTTTTAACATGATTAAATGAATACCTCTTTTTTTCTTTGTACCACAGATCAAACTCAGGACCCTGAGCTTGCCAGGCAGGTGAGGCGTATTTTGTTTTGTTTTGTTTTTTGAGACAGGTTCTTACTAGTTTAGGCTGGCTTCTAACTTGGGGCAACTCTCCTGCTTCAGCCTCCCAAGTGTTGGAACTATAGGTATGTGATACAACACCCAGTTTAAATGGATTTCTCTTAAATACCTTTTAAACTATGTCCTAGAAAAAAAGCTAATACCACAAGTTCTCTCCTCTGCCTACAACATCTGTCCCCCGATAGTCTCATCATTTGTGTTCTGACAAAATGCCACCTCTTTGGAAAAACCTTGCCTGACAATGCCATCTGTGACCAGCTCCAGTTACTCCAGGCCCTGAGCCTGCTCTCCTTCCTGCGTGGTCCTGACCAACCCTTGGCAGTAGATTTTAGACTGGGTATGTCTACCAGCTTAGAGGAGTGGGGCTACATAACTGCTGGTGAGTCACCTGTTTAGTTAGAGAAGTGGTAAATGGTTTAAGCAAGTCCCACCACTCTTCAATCTTTGTACATTCCAAAAATTAAGGAGAAAAACTTACCAATTCGTGTAGGAGTTGAAGAATGTATTGTCTTCCCTAAAAGTCAACTGAAATAACTTTCAAAACAAACTTCACTGGGCTGGGGACTTAGTTCAGTGGTGCCACTGCCTGTCTTGCAAATGCAAGGTCCTGAGTTTGACCCCCAGTACCAAAAACAAAACAAAACAAACAAACAAACTTTACTGTATAAACAAAATAAATAATGGGTATAATCTTTCCTTAAATTGGGATTTATTTTAAAACTGAGGTCTTAAAGTGATCTCTGGTAAAAAATGAAAAAAAAAAAAAAAAAAAAAAAAAAAATCACTGTCCACAAGAGACAAATTACTGAGCATGATATGGAACCAAGTTAGAGAATTCCTAAATTCTCAAGTCATTTTGACATCTACTAGTAAACTACTATTTAATATTTCTTCAATACAGTCACAGAACTGCAGGTTTAGGGAATGAGACAAGAATAACTAGGCCAACACATTAGACACAAGGCAGCATAGCAATGTCAGTGAAGGACCTTGTCTCTGACAGCTCTAGAACAATCTGAGACAATCAGCTTCCTCAGTCACCTCCCCTTTGATGATTCCCTAAGGGGGAGAGAGTCCTCCCTAGTGGAGCAATCTAACATTCACAGGCATTAATCTTGAAATGGTTTGAAAAACAGTGACACTACATTCCAGCGACAAGTACAAAAAGAGTATGGAGCTGGGCGTGGTGGCGCACGTCTATAAGCCCAGTACTCGGAAGGCTGAGGCTGGAGGATTGAGGAGTTCGAGGCCGTCCTGGGATACATAGTGAGTTCAAGGCCAACCCGAACTACATGGTGAGACCCTTTCTTTAAAAAAAAAACAGTACAGACCCGGGGATTTAGCTCAGTGGTGCCGCTGGCTGCCTGTAAGCACAAGGACCCAAGTTCGATCCCTGGCAAACACAAAAAAAGTACGGCCATAGTTATCTCCAAATTCAAGAAAAGAAAGCTAAGAAAATGAAATTTTAGTGTATAAGTCAATTCTGAATAAAGTCAGAATGCATGATTACTCTGCCTTGGAACCGAGCATCATGTGTAACTAACAGTGCTGAAGCTGGAAGCTGTGCCACTAGGAAACGAGCGCCCAGATCTTGGTGACAGCCGTGTGGAGAGGAGGCACCACCCAAATGGTCTGCAGCTCTAGCACCAGCTTACTCGGCCTCTGAAGAACCCAGACAAGCGTGACCTGAGCATGCCACGCAGCCAACAGGCATCGGAACCCTAACCAGCCCAGTGTCCTCCCTCCCGTCACCTCCAGCTCCTGCTTTTCTGGGAGTCTCCTTCCTTTAAGTCTACTTTCTACTTTTCTTTGAGTATTTAGTACAAATCTACTCACAATGCATGAGAATTTGCCTTAAGATAGAATATAAGAAGCAATACAAGAGAGAGAGAGGTGGGTTCATTCTTAATTTATTTTATTTATTTATTTATTTTTTTGTACTAGGGATCGAACTCGGGACTCTGCACTTGCAGGGCAGGCAGCTACACCACTGAGCTATATCCCTGGCCCCATTGTCAATTTTTTTTTTAAATTGAATTTATTGGTACATTCTAGGTAGACAGTACAGTTACATTCATCACTGGGATCTTGTACCTTTACATGCCAGGTCTTGGTTCTCATTTCCCATTGTCAATTTCTTATAGCTTTAGCTAATCGATGGACAACTGCTTCCTACCAGCTTTCCAAATTACAAAACATAAATAGTACTGCAAGGACACACAGAACAAGGAAACCCCACACATCACTGGTGGAGACATGAAGTGGTAGAGGTGCTGTGAAAAAGTCCGGCAGTTCTTCAGTAAATTAAAACAGGGAATTATCCTCTAACCCAATGGTTCTACTCATTACACACTCATGAGAAATGAAAACATATGGCTACACAGCAATTTGTACACGAATGTTTATAGCAACATTATTCAGAACAGCTAAATGGTGGATATAACCCCAATGTTTATCAACGATCACAGATGGATAAACACAGTCTGGTACTGGTGTGCAGTAATATATTATTCAGTCATGAAAAGGAATGAAGTATTGCTACATGACACAACTTGGATGATGCACGAAATACTACATGAAGTGAAAGAAGCCAGACACAAAAGGTCACATACTGCCTGATTTTCTTCCTATGAAATACACAGAACAGACAAATCCACAGAGAGAAGGCAGATTAACAGTGGCCAGGGAATAGGTAGAAGAGGGAATGGGATGGAAAATTTTGGTACCAGAGAGAGGAGGTGGTCACACAGCCTTGTAAATGTACTAAATGTCAATGAAGAGCACACCTTAAAATGGTTAACTGTATGTTATGTAAGTATCACCTCAACTAAAAAAGAGAAAAGGAAAATGCACACATACCTTGACACTAATAAAATTCATTCCACTCTCCCGAGCAACTACGCTAGCTAGTAAAGTTTTTCCTGTTCCAGGAGGACCATACAACAATATTCCTGTTCTCTGTCGTATGGGCAAGTTTGCAAACAATTCTGGGTACTGAAAAATATAAAAAGGGCCCAAGTATCAGTAGGTTGGAGCTGAAGATCAACACAGAGAAAAAAGCATTCAGATGGTAGTAACTACTGCCTTTACTAACAGCACCTAGTAGAACAATGAAATTGCTACTAATCAAAGAACTCCAAGGAACTACCAAGATTTTTCTCAATGGGATTATGAAATATATTCTGTATAAATGTACATAAATGCATCAGAATTCTTCCCACTTCTCTTTTTTTCTTTCTTTTTTTGCAGTGCTGAGGATTGAACCCAGAGTCTTCACACTGAAATACATCCCCAGCCCCCAAGTCACATCGCTGCCCAGGCTGGGCTTGAATTTACAATCCTTCTCAGCCTCCCAGAGTGCTGGGATTACAGGTCACCACCATACCTGGCTTACTTTAACAAAACATTATAAAAGTACTACATTAAGAAAATAAAGACCAGGGGCCTGGGATTTAGCTCAGTGGTGATGCCACCTGCAAGGTTCCAAGTTCGATCCCCAGTACAAAAAAACAAAAACAAAAATTAAAAAAAACAAAAGAAAATAAACACCAATCTTTTAACAAATATACTGCCTTCTACTTGAGTCACGGAACAAGCTATGGCAGTTGTGTAAATTCAAATATTTTCAATCAAAGAAAGAAAAGAAATAATAGAGAAGCAGGTGTAATGATTATAGACAGTAAAATCTCCTAAGAAGCTCAAGGGGGAATAGTGACAACCACTTGTCAACTACCTTCTACATCATCAACTGTGCTGAGAGCTAAAGTCCTTTGTGAAATGAGTCAAACATCAGACCACAGTCAACAGGGTCCTGGTCTCCTCTTGGGCGTCTTCCCTCCACTGCCTTCTTAGCTGAAAGAACCTCACACCCAGCACTTGTGCACAGGGTCTGCACACATCTGAGTGTTGACCTCTGGCACCCGGACATTAGCATCTGGGGTCAGGCAGCTGCTGACTGGCAACTCCACACCACGTTTTCACACAGTTTCACCCGATAGTCCTGGACTGCACTCAGTGTGTCCAAGCCCAGACAGTGACCATTCCAAGGTGAGGCCATGCAGCTACACGAGATCTCCTTACTCATTTCTTTACTTACTAGCTTGGGTCCCTGTTCTCATGCAACTATCCTTGCCTTGCAGAATCCAAACACACCACACCTCCTAGACGTCTTTTCCTAACATCTCTGAACAGAATCATCTACATCTGCCCTCTTATCCTGCCACCTACCTTGTTTATGCTCCCTGCAAACTCCTCCTTTCCAGAACATTCAGTGTCTAGAATTGTGACTTAATCCACCAGACCTGTGAACCTAGCTGACTCTTTCACCTTCTAGGTTATTCTTGTTTGTTTCTGCTCAAATCCCAGCAGATGGTTCATTTTGCTTTAGTATAATCTGAATGATTCAATCAAAACAGAAAGACGAAACTGACAGCTAAGCTTCTCCTTAGGACTTTCTGACAAGAAGTACACCGAATACCCTAAAAATCTGTTAAAATACCCAAAGTGGTGCTGGACACGTATCTGGAAATTTAGTAAATGCTTGTTTAATCAAACTGAGACCGGATAGCCCAACACGTGAAGCCAAAGCTTCTTTTTCTTTTTCCCTTCCTCCCTTCCTCTACTTCCCACCCCTTCCCTTTCTTTAAAGTACCTTGGCGGGCAGCTGAATTGTATCCATGAGTATCTGCCGAACTTCATGCAATCCACCAATTTTATCCCAACCGAGGTCTCTAGGTTTATGCAGGTTGACATTTCGCAGCGATGCCGGAATAAATCCTTTGAGAGCCTTTTGGAAGTCCAATGTTGTGAAAACTAATTCTGTTTAAAAATAATCAAAATTTCTTCTGGTAGTTATATATCAATGAATTTCCAAAATACACTATCATCTTAGCTGGAAATGTTAATTTTCTACTCAAGTAACAGGTTATTCAAATACTAAATGGAATATATTTAATTCTTGCGTCACTGCAGAGTAGAAAGTGGACTCCAAGTCCTGGTTTTCCATAACACATACCTTCCCTAGAAGATACGTGCTGACGAGAGAGACAGGAATGAACGGCTCGATCCACGAGCACTGTAAAATCTCTAGCCACAAATCCTTCAGTTTCTTTTGCTACATGCTGCAGGTCAAGATCAGGGAACTTGCTTATATCATAGCCCAGTTTATTCTTTATTATATGATACAAAATTTCATACCTCTGTTCCTAAAAGCAAAAAACTCAAATTATCAATGGTATTCAACTGTACATTGTAACAGTCAAGTTTTGCTTAACAATGGGGGTATGATCTGAGAAAGGCCTCATGAGGCAATTCATTGTGTGGGCACACCATAAACTAGCTACACAAAGCTCAAAGTACAAACTTCACAGGTACTGGCTAATCTCCGGGCTACACAGTGTGGCCTACTGCTCCACCAGACTGATTCTGCCAGACTGCCCTTCCTAGATGTATTCTGGCAGTATTTTCTCCCCCAATTCAGCTTGTGCACTTTCCACACATTCAGCTGTCTTCATGGCAACACTGACAGCCTCAGCCTTCAGTCTCACATCATAGAATGAATAATGATGCCCCTTGAGCTGTTTAAACCACAGCGAACAGCAGACTCAACAGCATAGTTAGGTCCCACTTTTTCTTTCAATATCACAAACAACTCTGCTCTGGCTGCATCACAGTGCTCAGCGGGGCATACTCCTGCATCTGGGCTGTAAACCGGGTCACTAAAGTTTCTCCAGGACCAGGGATTTAGCTCAGTGGTGCTGCCCCCTGGTACCAAAAAAACAAGTTTCTCCAGATCTGACACAGGGCCTCCTCAAATATTTGTTAGTCCTGTGGTCCTGCAGTGAAGCAGATCCTTTAACAACTTCTGTCACGTCGTCCTTATTCTTTTAGATTGTAGCTAAAATGGACTAGAATACACCTGACTGACTTTCCACCTCCGTGGTCCTGCATCACCTTTAATTTTGATTCCAGGCCAGTCACTTGTATGGCCTCTGTCTGGCAACATTAGCAGTGATACACTTAGGAGCCACAATGAGCAAAGTAACATGACATTAAATCAAGAAGAGAAAATGACACAGTCAAGGGACACGGCAGACCCAAGAGGGAAGCGTGCTGGTTTACAGTACACTATTTTTTTTTTAACAAGTAGGAGAAGCATACTCTAAAACAGTGATAAAAGAACAGTATAGGAAATATAAAACAGTAAGTCATTTGTTATCACTTTCAGGTATTGTGCCCTATACATAACAGCATGTAGTTTTTATTTGAGGTTACTGGAGATCAGACCCCAAGGGTGCTCCACCACTGAGTTATATCTCTAGTCTTCTTCCTTTTTATTCTGAGACTAAGGGGCTAAGTTATGCAGGTAGGCCTCAAACTTGCAATTCTGCCTCAGCCTCTCAGAGTGGAGATTACAGGCATGCCCCACTGGGCCTGGCTGTGCTGTACTCTGATATGAGTGGCAGCATAGGTCTGCTCACACCAGTACCACTAAGACACGCGGGGGACGTGTTGTGCTGGGTTGTTATGAGGGTGACAGCCGTGAATTCTCCAAGGTACAGGAAGCATTCTTTTTAACAGTTGCACCGGAACCATCATATATGTGATCCTTTGTTAGTCATTATGGGGCCCATGACCACATGTAACCGAAGAAAAGTCAGGCTAACAGAATTTATCCTGACAGAGCTGATTAGCGGTTGTCTGGGGATAACATCAAGAAGGGATGGATTGCAAAAGACACTACTACAGAATCGTGGGATGGATGGATATGTTTCCTAATATTTACAAATGTTAAAACTACTTAAGCTGTACAATTTATGTCAGTTTGTTGTACTTCTATTTTTTTTTTCCAGTTTTTTTCAGACAGGGTCTCATTATGTAGGTGAGACTGCCCTGGAACTCAATGTAGCGCATGTACAATTTATGTCAGTTTGTTGTACTTCTATTTTTTTTTTCCAGTTTTTTTCAGACAGGGTCTCATTATGTAGGTGAGACTGCCCTGGAACTCACTATGTAGCCCAGGCTGGTCTCAAACTCACAGCAGTCCTCCTGCCTCAGCCTCTCGAGTGCTGGGGTTACAGGCGTGCGCCACCATGCCCGGCTTTGTTGTACTTCTATTATTCCTCAGTGAAATTGTAAAAAAAAAAAAAAGTCACATTGATTTCAATTTCTTTCTACAGAAAAAAGCAGTTTTAGTAAAGGATGGCTTTTTTTAGAAATGTTTTTTTGTTCCTATAAAACACACTTCTAAAGACATATTCACCTAAGACATATTCAATGCCCAGTAATATTGCCATTCTGTTATACTTAAAATAAGATAAAAATATGTTTGCCAGTGTTATAACACTTCTTTCAGCTCACTGCCATAAAGCCCTTATGAGACTGGGTGTCTATAGGCCATATGCGCATTTTAAAAAGACATCTACCCACATTTCTCCCTTTTTTCCCCTTGTTCAGAAGAAATACTGTTTTTGGAAAAGTCATTTTCTTGGAAAATACATGGTATCATTTCAGATGGTTATAAATTACAATTCATGTGCCAAGTATAATATACACCAAATATTGCTCTTAAATGTTCTTAAGATCACTTAGAAGCATTAAGTTTAAAACTATAATTCATTAATAAAATTAAAAAATAATTTCCAAAAAGGGGAAACATTGCAATAATCTGTAAGTAGTGTATTACCTGATTAGGAGGCTGGATGTGCTGGACACACTGAAATATGTGAACTCCTTGAGCAGACACAAGTAAAGGATGCAGAGAATGCTGAAACTGGCTCGTGGCAATCAGTGCAACCAAACTTCCCATTGAAATAAACTCTTTGATCATATCACTCACAGCTAGAATTAAGCAAAACTCAGGATAAAGAACCACAACAATTTAAATTATCTATTAAAATAATGATAACCTAACACTGAACTTTCAGATGGGGCAGCTCCTCTGTGCTTTTAAAAAGTTAATCCATCCATTTAGTATGGAGAACCAAGCTCCATGTCATGTAATGTAGGTATAGGAGCTCCTGTAAACTCAAGACTGTGTGTGTACTCAGAACCATGTCTAGTGAGGTGCCTGACTCTGGGACCTTAAAAGGCAGTAACTGAATACAAAAAAGTCACATCTGGAATGAATACTCCAGAAGGGCAGTACATTTCTGGATTGTGTTCTGCTTATTAAGCAAAACACAGCTCCTATCTCTATGCATTTCTTTTTTTTTTGGCACTGGGGATCAAGCTTAGGTCCCTGCGCTTGTGAGGCAGGCAGTGGAACCACTGAGCTAAATTCCCGGCCCTCTCTATGAATTCCTCAGTAATCTCTTTTTACCCAAGGTCTTCCAAGGTTTGGAATAAAAAGGTTGGAACTGAAAACAGGTATCAGTACTATGAAATGGTATGTGAATCTTGATCTAGAAATTCCTAATGCTCTAAGCACTAGACTAACTGATCCAGGGCTTATGACTAGTTAATAGGAGTTTATATGTGATGCAGAATTCAAAATTTGAGATTAACACTAATTAATAATAATCCAAGCCACTCCAGTTACATTTTATATCTATCTCAGCTTTCAGGAGCCATAAGGCAGATCAGCACTTGCCAAGCCCTGCAGCCTCACTGCCCCATCAGTCCTTTACTTGTATCAATGACATACTTCCCACCATACCGCCAACTCTTCTACCTCTGTATCCTTCCTTGTGAACCATACCTCTTTTCCCTCTTCATTAGCATGACACTACTTTATGCTACTTTCTATCCCTCCACCAAAACTCAGCTCAGAAATCAACTCCCCCCAAAAGCCTTCCTTGCTAACTCACCTCCAATTCAGGATCTATGCTGTCAAAGTACACTTCAAATATAGTACATCCTACCAAGTGCTAGTCGATCACCCTGTTCCATTAGTTTAGCTCTCACAGTCCCACTGACTGACCTGAAAACCAGAAGAATATCTGTACATAGATACAAGACAACCCATTGCAACCCAGAAAGGGCACACAACACATGGTAGCTATGGTTGTTATTAGCAGTCTGTACTAAAATTATGTTTCCTTTTTTCCCCCTTGACTTTGAATATACATAAACATTTGACAAATATCTGTCAAATGAACAAAAGAAAGGGTAAATCTGTAAACAACTTCTAAGTAGTAAAAAAGAACAAACAGGCCACTAAAGTCTAACAATGGGATGGTGTTTTTTTCACATTGTTCATTCTCTACCAACTTTGCTAACGCAGAAGCTGCAATACGCTACACTACGAGAGGACTCAAAACAAAACAGGAGAGGATAAGGACTGTTCTCTGAGGAGAGCAGATTTACATCAAGGCTAACAACACTAAGAAGAGAAGAAGGCCTCTGGCCAGTGGAGGACGAGTTACCGTGTGCGAGACGCTGGCTCTGCACTGCCTCAGGACTGTGCTCCTGTTCTGGGGCGGCGGGCAGTCCAGCAACAAAGTCCAGGTCGTCCAGCAGAACCACAGAGGGCTGCCTCCACACTGCCTCTGAGAAGGCTATCCACAGGGCTTTCTCTACATATTCGAGCCTTTTTCCTTAACATAGAAAACATGGTTTCAGTGTTATTTCAGTGTTGGAAAAGTTCAGGCTACCCTTCTGAAAGCATTCAGAGCATGATACAGACTAAAGTACAAATATTTAATCCATATCTTATTAATGCACCAGTCACAGAGACTTGTTAATCGTTGGCATAGTTTAACTACTACAGCCTCACTGGAGTTAGTAAAGCACCAAATTTTATGACTGCTATGATTTCTATATGTACCCAGTCTCATTTTGTAGAGAATTTCACCTGGCTTATATAAGATAGCAAAATAAGAACAGTACTCAGGAAAACACAGACAAGAATAAAGGATCAAGATCCAGGGGAAATCAAATACAAATGTGGCCACCTAGAGATCCTAGAGTTGCTATATCTGAATAAAAATTTGAAGCCAAATTTGCTAGAGAGTTACAAAGTTTTAAACTTCAAAGAACAAAACACACAGGCCGGGGGAGTTAGTTCAGTAGTTCTGCCACCTGCCTTGCAAGGACAAGGACCAGAGTTCGATCCCCGGTACCAAACAAACAAATGAACAGAAAACATATAAATTCATAAGAAAATGTAAAAATGTTATATGCCTCAAAATTAAAATTTTCTCATGAGGCCTTAAGTAGGACTCTGAAAGATAAAGAGTACATCTAGAACCTCTCTTATCACAAATGAAGTGATAGATTTGCAGAAACTATTTCACAGTTTCTTATTATGTACTAGATTAAAAACTGAGATATAATGATTATTTGGTAGTGGTAGCTGAGGGAAAAATAACTGCTCGAAGTATCATCTTCTCAAACTCTTGCTCTAACTGAACAGATAACAATATAAATGTTACAAACTTTAAAATACACAAATGTGTTTTATTATAAAGGGTGATTCTCCTCTTTGCTGTCCACACACTCTCGCCCTACCCGGAGGCAACCGCAATTCAGAGATCATGAACACCCAGTAGCGTATATCCCAAATATGCTCTCAGAGTGGATACACTGACCTTTCCAGGGAAACAGTCTACAAAGAGTTTTGACTAGGAGAATAGGCCCCAAGCAACTATTAGAAAAGTTTTAGAAATTCTATCAATAACATGGAAAGCCAGACTTAAAACCTCTACGGATTTTCAAAGATTGTGATACACAGAAAGTTAAAAATGAGACAACATCGCTATTTATTAGACTACCAGCATTAATGATATTCTTGACTACCGGAAAGGGGCTTTCTGTAGGGTTTTCCATACTCATACCTTTCAAAGCTTTACAGTCAACTATTTCCATATGGGCATCCAGTGTGTCACAGGCTTCTTTACAGACTGCTTTGGCGAAAGTGGTTTTTCCACTTCCCTAAAAAATAAGTGCTTCATCAGAACTCTTGATACACTCAGTCACAGAAACAGTTTTTATTGCTGTGGCACCCACCAAGCCTCATTCTTCAGGAAGTATATGCTGGTCTGTTGCTGTGTGGGATTGATTCTGTGTTTCTAAAACCTGGCTCTTTTCCTTTAGTTGCTAATGTGCAGGAGCAGACTATATCCTATGCTCACTACAATGCACACACAGATAACTTGCTAGTTAAAACAGCCACTAATATTTTTAAACTTTCACTAATATATGCTTGTGATATATAATAATTACATTTGTTTTGGGAAATTGGTAATTACATGTAGCACGTCTTGAACATTTTTACTCCCTTCCTCCCACCTTTACTCTCCTCACTACCCTGGATCCCCTTCCCATCTCCAAAAACTCATATAAGAGAAACTATATGATATTTAATCTTTTGTGTCAGATTTATTTCACTTAGCCAGGGGCCAGAGTTTTAGCTCAGGGGTACCGCAGCCTGCTTTGCAAGTGCAAGGACCTGAGTTTGATCCCGGTACCAAAACAAAAAAATATAAACAACAGCAGCAACAGAAACAAAAACAAAAACACAAAAAAACAAAAAAAGGCAAAGTAGCACTTAGCTTTATGCTCTCAAGATCTATCCATTTTCCTGAAATGACTCAAATTTATTCTTCTTTATGGCTGAGTAGCACTACGTTGTGTGTGTGTGTGTGTATAGTATATATATATATATATATAAAACATTTTTTAAAATCGGTATATGCTTGATACATAATAACAATATTTACCTTGGACTAAGGCATAAATACCCTATGTCAAACATTTGTTTCTACTTCTGTCAATTCTCCCCTACCCTTTCCATCAACAGATCCCCTTTCCATCTCCATAAAGCCTACCTCCCTGTTTCCTATCATCTATCTTTTATTTTGCTCCTAAATTATTAATCATCTGGCCTTCTCCTATTAGAGAAAGCATGCTGTATTTAACTTTTGTGTCTATTTCACTCAGCATTATGGTCTTAAGATGTACTCATCTTCCTACAAATGACTCACATTTATCCTTCTTTATGAATTAGTACTCCTGTTGATAGGCTACTCCAAAATTTAGCTATATTATGAATTGTGCTGTTATAAACAAAGGAATGCATAAACCACAGTAATATGATGTCTTTAACTTGTCCAGGAAGCTACAAAGAAGAGGTATAGCTGGGTCAAATGCAATTTTTTTTTTGAGACATTTCCATGCTGATTTCTAAAGTGGTTGTAACTTTCATTTCCACCAACAATGTAGATGGGTTCCTTTCTCCCCACAACCTTGTGAGCATTTGCTGGTTTTTGAGTTCTTGATAATAGGCATTCTTTCTGGAGTAAGATGGAATCTCAGTGTTGTTTTAATTTGCATTTCTCTAATGGCCAAAGATGCCGAGCATTTTTTCATGTACTCATTGACTATCTGTTTTTTTTTTTGGTACCAGAGATCCAAATCAGGACCTTGCGCTTGCAAGGCAGGCGGGGTGCCACTGAGCTAAATCCCCAGCCCAACCATCTGTACTTCTCCTGAGAAGTATATATTCATTTCAATTGCCCATTTTTGAATTGTGTCTTTTATAATGGAGGGTCTAATTGTTTTGAGTTCTTCACGTATTCTAGATCAGTGATGGTGAACCTTTTAGACTGAGTGCCAAACTGCAACCCAAAAGCCACCAAGTGCCAATAGTATAATTAAACCTTAATACTGAAGTTTTAGTTTACAAAAATAACTCCACATTAACATTTTTTGTCTTAAAAGAAAAATACAGTAACACATGTTCCATAGGTTTACCACTGTTCTAGATGTTCTTCTGAGTAGTTGGCAAAAATTTTTTTTCCATTCTGTAGGTTGTCTTTTCACTGTTGTTTCCTTTTCTTTGCAGAAGTTTTCATTTTATATAATCCTATTTGTTGATTCTTGATTATTTCTTGTGCAATGGGGGTTCTGTTTAGAAAGTCCTTGTCTATGCCTAGTCTTTGTTTTTATATTTAGGTTTTAAAAATATATATTTTAATACAAGGCCAGAGATAGGTCTAGGTTCACTCTTTTTTTTTTTTGGTACCAGGGATCAAACTCAGGACTTTGCACTTAGGAGGCAGGCGGTGGCACCACTGAGCTAAATCCTTGGCCCTAGGATATTCTTTTCTGCACATGGATAACCAATTTTCCAGCACCATTTGTTAAAGAGGCTGTTTTTTCTCCAACACGTTTTTGACCCCTTTGTTAAAGGTGGCCGAAGGGCTGTTTCTGCAACCTCAATTCCATTTCATTGGTTAACATGTCTTTTTTAGTCAGTACCACAGTTTTAATTTACGTGGCTTTGTAGTATAAAGAAATACGAAAATTTGAAATGTTTTGTAATGCCTCCTTCTTTGCTCTTTTTGGTCAAGACTGCTTTGACTATTCTGGGTCTTTCCTCATTCCATGTAAATTTTAGGATTTTTTTCAGTTTTGTGAAGAATGTTGCTAGTATTTTGATTGGAATTGCATTAAATTTATGTATCATTTTTGGTAAGATGGTCATTTTGACAATATTGATTCTGCCTGTCCAGGAACAGGAAATGTTTATTTTCTAATGTCTTTTTCAGTGCTCACTTCGGCAGCACATGTACTTTTTCAATCTCTTTCTTCATAGTCCCATAGTTTTATTATAAAGGTCTTTCTCTTCCTTGGTTAGGCTGATTCCGAGGTATTTAATTTTCTGAAGCATCTGTGGATTTAGTTATTTTCCTGATTTCTTTCTCTTTGAGTTCAGTGTTGGTGTAAAGGCATGTTATTGATGTTTGTGTGTGGATTTGATCCTGCCACTCTGTTGAATTCATTAGTTCTAAGTCTTCTGTTGGAGTTTTTGTGTTTCTATTTCAAGGGTCCTCTCATCCCCATGTAAGGACAGTCTGACTTCTTCCTTTCCTGTTAGTATCCCTTTTATTTTTCTCTCTTGCTTGATTGCTCTGGCTAAAGTGTAAAGTATTACACTGAACAGAAGTGGTGATAGCAGACATCCTTGTCTAGGCTTGGAAAGCTTTCAGTTTTTCTCCATTTAGTATGAGGTTGGCAGTGGGTTTCTCCTAAATGGCTTTTAGGTAAGGGTTTTCTATACCTATTTTCATCATTTTTTAAAAATCATGAATGGATGTTGGATTTTATCAAAGGATTCTGCAATGATATGTGATTTTTATACTTAGTTCTATTTATGCTGCATATTACATTTAATGATTTATATGGTTCAACCAACCATTCTTACACGCCTGGAATGAAGCTGACTTTGTCATAATATGTTTTTTTAATGACTTAGTGCAATCTGTCTGCCAAGTATCTTATTGAAGATTTTTGTACCCTATCTTCCTTAAGGAAATGTAGTCGTTAATACTTAAAATCTTTAAAAATAGGTAATGCTTACTGTTACTAGAAGGGAATAATAAATATATTAAATAAGTTTTCTAGGTAAATGAAACATATTCCCATTTAATTTCAAAGTTTTCAGTGGAAAAAAACTTAATTCATTCATTTCTCTATTGCCTTACATTAATTTTAAATAGCACATATTGATATGGTCATTGTGACCACCAACTAGTGTACAAAACTTTCAAACTATTAAGGTTTTAATCCAATGTGCATTTTTTTAAAGTAAAAGCTTAGTTTTCTCTCATTAAAAAATATGTAGAATAATTGTATTTGCACAAGGTTAAAAAATCTATAAACACCTTCCCTACAGAAGTAATTACTGTTAATTCTTCTGATGTTTATAATCACTGACACTCCCTATTTTATGTAAATGTATAAAACAGCTAGTGTTGTAATCTGATTATTTTACTTAATGGTAAATCACTGTCTTCTTCCCATGTCAACAATATAGAACCTCACTGGCTCCCTAGTACAGCACCACTGTGTATGCACTGAACCATATGTTTAACAAGGGCCATACCAAACCTATGTATTGCACAAGTCCCTTCTGGTATGTGTGTCTGTCTGTATGCATTACTTCCATTTTTAACTATTATAAAGTCAAAACAAATATCCACACACATGTAAGTTTACTAATTTGTCAGGTTATAGCCTTAGAATTTCTAGAAGTGGAATTGTGACATCAAAAGGTATTCATATTTAAGATTTGCTAAACACTGGTATTGTTTCTTAACAAGATCGAATCTGGTAGGTATTTTTAATTCTTTTCTTACCAATTTCTTTCAATCTCCTATTATTTTTTACCATTGTCATTTGTGTAGATCCAATAGCCTGGCATCAGTTCTAATATTTTGTTTTGATTACTACAGTAGAGAAAAATCCAGGCTTAATATATGAAGCCTGAAAATCTTGAGGCATTCAATGAATACATACTATCATTATTATATTTTTGTATTACATAAGCACCATATTTAAATTAATGGGCATATTTAAATTAGGGGTGCTGGGGTATAGATACCACCTGTCATCATCATCTGCTTAGTCCAAGGGGCTCTCTGCTAACTCAAAGTAATTCACATTGGATGGCACTTTTCAGTTTAGAAAGCTTTTCATATACATTATCTTCATTAAATGCAATTAATCCCACGAACACAGATGAGCCACTAAAACGTAACACTTCAACTATAATCAGTAAGTGCACGAGAGGTGGGATGCAAACTTGGGTCTTCTGCTTGCTCTCCCTATTCACTTTGCTACTTGGGAAGTCTGGCACCTTAGTCAGTGCGGTATATTACCTTTCAAGAACTGCTGTCATCCCAGTACTCAGGAAGCTGAGGCAGGATGACTGCTGCGAGTTCGAGGCCAGCCTGGGCTACACAGTGAGTTCAAGGCTGGCCTAAACTACATATAGCAAGACCTTGTCTCAAAAAAACAACAAAAGAATAAATAGATAGACAGTTGGATATTCCCAGACTGCCATGCCAAGTGAAATAAGCCAGACTCAGAAAGATAAATATTGCATGTTTTCACTTACATGAGAAACCTAAAATATAAATAAATGAATAGCAGAGATGACAGGAAACCGTAAGACACACTCTTGGTGATGGGGAAGGGAAGAGGGGGAGAAAGAATGGGGAAAAAGGATTAAAAATGATCAGATACGTCACACGCATGTACCAATCTACCAAAATGAACCTGATGATTGTGTATTACACACTTGCTCTAATAAAAAAAGTTTGAAAGTTTACCATGATAATTCATTCTGAAATGACAGGGATAATTAAAACCATGGTTTATATTTACATGTCCCCAGAGCCTCATGCGCTCACAGGCTGGGCTTTTGGAAGAGGACTGAACCATGGGAGTGCTATAGCTGACTGGCCATTGGAGACAAGGCCTTATGAGGGAGAGATCCAGAAGGGTGTCCTGCCCTCCCTGGGTCCTCCTTTCTTCTCTGTCTGACCCCAACATGTGAGCAGCTTTCCTCTGCCCAGGCCCTATGCCATGACGTTTCTAGGTTTAAGCCTGCCAAACATAGACTAAAACTACAGAAATCTGAGTCAAAATAAACCTCTCCTCCTGTAAGTTTTAGCTGTTGGGTATTTTGTCCCAGTGACAAGGAAAATGACTAAGACATTTGAAACCACAGACAGAGAATGAGTCGTGGCTATGTTTTAAGCAACAATTAGAAGTAACTGGGCTAGTAACAGAAAAACGTTATTAAAATAAGTGAAGCCACACATTTACATTTTTTTTTGGTACCAGGGATCGAAATTGGGTCCTTGCTCTTGCGAGGCAGGAGTGGAACCACTGAGCTAAATCCCACCCCCTAGACATTTACATTTTTGAATTAAATTCTTGAATTTTTGAATTAAAGTAGAAAGACAAAAACCATACTTATCCTTAAAAACATGTCATTGGTACAGAATAACACAGGAAGCCCTTTTAAAAGGTCAGGAACCTCAAGTGAGACAGTCAGAGATTAAAAAGAAAGAAAATGGACTGAGGAGGAGGCAGTTTAGTGGTAAACTGTCTGTTTAGCAAACAGGACACCCCGAGTTTGATTCCCAGCACAGCAAAAATAACAAAAAAGCAAATCTTCAATGTCAGGAAACAGGATCTCACAACAGATCCTGATCTGCAGGGATTTAAGGCTAACAAGAGAAAACTTTATGCTTAGAAATGTGACACTGTTGAAGATTTGGACCAAATCCTTGAAAGCCACCAAGTACCCATCAGACAAGATGAAATAGATTATCTGAGTAGTCCCAGAAACATTAAGAATTGAATTTTTAATTAAGCTAATGATAAAGGCATCTTCAGGTTTGGTTTCAATGGGAAATTTACCAAATGTTTAAAGAATAAATATCAATTTTATAAAGTATCTTCCAAAGAGGGCCAGGGATTTAGCTCAGTGGTTCTGCTGCCTGCCTCTCAAGCACAAGGCCCCGAGTTCGATCCCTGGTACCAAAAAAACAAAGCTTCCAAAGAAGAGAAGAGAACATTTTCCAACTCATTTCATGAGACCAGTATTATTGCCCTACTAGTAGAAGCAGACAGACAGTTCAAAAACAGAAAACCACAGACTAATATTTCTCATAAAACTTAGATGCAAAACAATCAGCAAATCAGAACTCAACAATGTATAAAAAACAATATACCATGTCCAAGTAGGATCTGTCACAGTGTGTAAGACTAATTCAACTTTGAAAAATCAACCCTGTCAATACCCTATCAATAGTCCAAAAAAGAAAAATATCAACTGACAGAAAAATGGCATGAATATCAGTCTTACTCAACTTACCTAAAAGCAGGCACACAAAAATATTAATGAATAAAAGAGTGCTTTCTCTATGTTGTACTAACAACCCTGTATAAACAGATCATCAGAATCCCAGAGAGAAGAACTAAAAGTTGTTAATTAGTGAAGAGAGTAATTTCAACCATATACCTTTCCTCCAGTAAGTAAAAGGGCTCCATTCCTAAGTCCTGCAACAAAGGACATGAACTGCCGAGACAAAGGGCGTCCTAGAAGGCTATGCGTGATGTGCTCCACAAAGGATCTGCCTATGGAAGTCACGCCTCTGAAAAGATATAAATTGTTATGTGGTAAAAGACTGAAGCGGGATAAAGTCTCACTATAAAATGTCAAAACTTTCCTTTTAGATCTACTTAATGAATAGAGTAAAATTTTAGAAATTCTTTATTTCAGAAAAGGTATATCGACTAATGCTGTATTTGATTCAAAGCTTTTAAAATTAGTTTTATTACATTAAAACATGTGCAGTGATTAACAGTTTGCTCTAATGGGATTGCTCAAGGGGTCTGCCTTGACACATATACATTCCTACACTCAATTTTTAGTTTGGTAATCAATCTAATCATAAGTGAAATGCTTAGAATAATTGAAGATTTATTTCCTCTTCAACATCACCTCTGAAATCTAGTTTCAATCTATATATATCATAAAAACATGAACTTTAACCTACTTCCTGACTTCCTAACATTAGAATCCAAATGTTCTATATTAGTGCATATTATGTTATACTTAATGGCATAATTTTTTTTTTTTTTTTTTTTTTCTGGTACTGGGGATCAAACTCTGGATCTAGTGATTGTGAGGTAGGGATGGAGCCACTGAGTTAAATTCCCAGCCCAATGGTATAATCTTTTACTAAAACATTTACAGACTATACTATTACAGAAAATGAAATTACTAATACAGTTACTAAAAACCTCTTTGAAGAATTCTAAGGGCTAATGTATATATAAGATTCTCGGGCTGGGGATTTAGCTCAGTGTTGCCACTGCCTGCTTAGCAAATGCAAGGTCCTGAGTTCAATCCCCGGTACAAAAAAAAAAAAAAAAAAGCTTCCCCTCTTGTATAAAGAATTTAGGAGAGGTTTTTAGATATGTCTGAAAAGTTGAGAAAACCCAATACTGATTATTACAATAATAAAATAGTGAAGGAATAATTTAATTTGAAATATTTCTAAACAAAGCTAAAGTTTTTTAAATTTTTAGAATATACTTATTTGTTCTAAGAATTACTGTTTTATTCATGCACAGAAGATCCAGCTGCTATCTACTTGCTTTCTTCTCACTCATCAATTCTCACAGTAAAGTTTCTAACAAGCTTCAGACCTCTAGTTATCGAAGATGACAGGGCAATTTTTATTCAACCAGTAAAAAGAGAGATAATCCTCTCCAAAAATCAAATGCATTAGCAAATTATTTGTTGACCTTCACCCCTAATTTAATATTTACACATAGAAACCCTGCCAGAGGTAATGTCAAACATATCTCTATACATGCTAGTTTGGCTGTAACTTCTTACCCCAAAGAGTTCAGCTTTAAAAAAGAAAGAATAAAGTCAATTTCCTCACTGTTTTCTTCTTTTACCACAGGATCTAGAAGGACCTAGAGTAGCAAGGAAGAATTAGTTTTACAATTCAAAGTTATATCTTTTGCCTGTTTTTCTTGGGTCTGAGAAAACTGAACTGCTGATTCTATTATACCGAAGAGCATAGATAAATTGTGCATGCAAGATCACTACTTAAAATACCCCTGACAACAATTTACTCATTCACAGAACAATGAGCAGACAGAACATCATTTCCTTAATATATTTTACAGATTTTACCTGCAATTTTGACTTGTGTCATGTTTACTTTATTTATAATTCTGAATGTGTTTCCTCTGAATGATTTTCTTTCAATTATATTAAAAAAGAAACAATGTCTAGTTAAAATCACTGACATTTTAAATAGTGAATCTTCAATTTTATAAGGAAAAGAGCAAGCAAAAATATAATATTCTAAAACGGACATTCTTATACTTCAGTAAGAAAGTATTTGTGAAGAGTTGCCAATTTAAAAATTGTCAAAATAACAAAATTGCACATAAAAATATGAATTTTCAAAATCAAATCCTAAAACTGTTTTCATTGGCTTCAAAAACAGTTTCAAATCATGATTCATTTGCCAGTTGACAATCAACTTTATTCTTGAAAATTGTGCCAAGACACTGATTTTAAAATTTAGAATAAACCAATAATTTATACAGGTAAAAAGTATAGAATAAAATATTTTAAATTAAGCTATCCTTATTCTTTTTTTGTCTTGTTTTGTTTTTTTTTGAGACAGGGTCTTACTATGTAGTTCAGACTGACCTGGAACTCACTATGTAGCCCAGGCTGGTCTCGAACTCACAGTGATCCTCCTGCCTCAGCCTCCCAAGTGCTGGGATTATAGATGTGCGCCACTACGCCCAGCCAAGTTATCCTTATTCTTAGCATATGAATTTTTAAATACACTTCATGATGCAAGTTCTTATAATGACATTCACACTTTATTATCAATCCCATGTGACAAATATTATTTTATTAAATATTCAATAAATTAGTGTATAGTTACTTGTACTGTGGTCTTCCGCAGCAGATTGGTACTCAACAAAAAAATATTTTCTTTTTGTTTTTCTTTTTTGCCATGAACTATACTCAGAGAAAATTCTTTCAACTCTATAAAAAGAAAGTAATAAGTGAAGAATTAGGGCTGAAACTGAGATGAAAAAATTTTAAGATTTCAACTATTAAATAAATTTAAAGGCATTCTTCAGTATGCAATATGTATTTAAATATCACTGTTTCACAATGACACAGATTGGAAAAACGATTTAAAAGGCCACAATTATCTCAGTAGGAAAATACTCAATAATAAATTTACCAAAAAAAAAAAATAAATTTACCATCTTTTATTTCCAACTTAATAAATTCTTCTTCTGATATTAACAAAGGAAGCACAGTGGTAGCAGACTGCTGCAGCCATGAACAGAAGGCCATTTTTACATCTTCTTCACGTACATCTTTAGGCTGCCAGAGAAAATGAATAGTAATTAATTACCCTAATATTTGACAATGTTAACACCTGTATTTAAAAATTTTATCTTCCTAATAAAATGTAAAACTTACCAAGCAAAACCAATATAAAATGTTCACATTCTATAAACACAGATTTGAGATTTGACATTAGTTAATATAATGAATATAGTATAGCCCAAAGAAACATTTATATAATTGGCAAAGTTTTAAGTGCTTTTTTTCTCCATGCTTAATACAAATACTAGAATTTGATTCACTCAGTAACCACCACATTCCAATCTCATTTTCCCTTGTCTCCTTCTATCAGCACGACAGGAAAACAATCCTCCATTGCCAGCTTGGCGCCATGTGTGTGTGTGTGTGTGACTTCAATGTGGCCCTTGCCATGCAGTCAGCAATTGGGAAAGGTGCCTCTCTTTATCAAAGTAAAGAATTTGTGCAAGGAGAGGTTTTTGCCTTGTGCTTTTCGTTTTGGTTTCTGGAATGTAGATGAGATGCTTATTAGTACAACATACATTTGCATCTGACAGAAGGAAAAGCACAAGCTAAAGATGGCAGAAGAAAAAGACTGATGTAGCTTAGATCCTTGGTGACATTGTTTATCTGCCTGTGAGCCTTTCAAATTCCCTGTACATGAGAAAAAGAAATCCCTGATACGTTTAAGCCACTATTCTTTTTTTCTGTTTTTAAGCTGACCAGTCCAGTTATAATCAAAAGGTAGTGTCAATGCACTGTTCAAAAGTATAGCATTCTTAAAAAACCCTGCTAATTTAAAATTAAGTTTTTGCAATCTTTTTCAAATAAGGAATAACAAATATTCATATAGAAAAGATGATCTATATTTGTTCGCCACAAATAAACCTCTATTTTATCATTTCTCAAACTGGTCTATTTTGTCCAGAGGTAAACTAAAATCTGCTGATTAAGTGCAGTTCAGAAATTGACCACTAGTAAACACAGGCTAAGAAAAGGTATAATTTCCTCATTCTTCAAATTTAATTAAACTGTCAAAGTTATAATATGAAGCTGAGAGCTATTTAAAAATCAAGAATTTTGGGAACAGAAAGCAACTCATAGTTCCTGTAGAATTAAATATCTTTATATAGTCTGAGCTATGCTCTAATTATGACCCAGAGACCTGCCTAAAGCCATAAAGTTTCCTCTAAAATATGTAACTCAAGATAGGAAGTAATTTTTGTGGTAGTATCCTACATTGAGACAAAGTTCTAATGACCAGTAGCTAATTATTTTCTTACATAAGGCACCAATATCTTAAAACACACCAATATCAATAGCTAAAAAGTTGGGCCGGGGATTTAGCTCAGCGGTTTGGTGGCCTGCCTTGCAAGCACAAGGACCTGAATTCAATCCCCGGTACCAAAAAAAAAAAAAAAAAAAAAAAAAAAAAGCTAAAAAGTTAAAAATCCCATCACTATTTAACCAATGTAGTAAATGCTCAGCTACATACTGCTATGAAAATAGCATTTATCCTATTTATTTTCCAGTTCCCAAAGTAGATAATATAAATTATCTGGTGTTTCATCAATTATAAAAGTTGTTAAACTGGTTCACCTATAGAAAAAAAAAATCATAATCCTAAGATTCCAAAAGTTTCATCTGAATTATCAGGGAAATATTATAATTCAATAATAATTTTCCTGTATTATAAGAATTTGAGAACTGGTACATAGGAAATGTTTCTAAATTAACTTAAATATCTCATTTCCTAACCATACCACTTTCCAAAGAACTGACTGAGCAGTCAAGTAAGAGATATCAGGTGTGGTGGTGTACGCCCATAATCCCAGCACTCTGGGCAGCAGATTCCTAAATTCAAACCCAACCTGGGCAACTCAGCAACTTAGTGAGAACCTGTCTCAAATTAATAAAAAAAAAAAAAAAAAAAAAAAAAAAAAAAAAAAAAAAAACCAGGGCTGAGGATTTAGCTCAGTGGTTCCACCACCTGCCTTGCAAGCACAAGGACCCAGGTTTAATCCCCAGTATCATATAAATTAATTAATTAAAAAACCAGAACAGGTTAGGAATGTAGGTCAGTGAAAGGGCCTGGCTTCATTTTCCTGTACCATGGAGGAAAAAAAGGAAAAAAGAGTGTAACACTTCTGGGTTTCCATATTCATAGTAAAGCAACATCAGCTTTTTAAAATATGCTTTCTGTTAATAGTCACCTCCCAGTGGGTTACTAAAACAAGCCTTCTTCAATGAAGAAGGAAGTGGTTGTCTTAGAAATAGTCTTGGTATGAACTCTGAGAAGACATTTTTTCACTTGTCTTGTCCTTGATGGTCTCCACTTTTCTAAGCCAGGTGCCACTTAACTGGCAACAATAAAAATTATCACCCATCTTTTGTACAACAGCAACATAGCAAGGCAGAATATTTTAGGGCACCAAATGACTTTTAGCCAGTTCTTCAAAATTTATTCAATTTTATTAGTATATGTCATTATTATGTAATGATGGGGTTTATTCTGAAAAGCTGGTACATGTATTTAATATATCAATGAATTTCAGTCCCATTACCACTCTCTCCCTCGCCTACTCCATTATCTTCTTCCCTATTTCTAGAAGTCTACCTCCTAGTTCACTTTCAGGTATCTCTTACCTAATGTGTGCTAATGAACTTCCAGAAACAGATCATTTAACCTGTTATATAAGATTTTTCCAAATACTAGTTTAGCTTAGCTACTTTGAAAACTGTGATGATTTTCTTGTCTGTATCTTGGGTTTTATTTCTTAATTCAAGTTTCAGACATTATGAAAATTTCATTTTTTTCTATCACTTCAAACTTTTCTTTACAGTTTAATAAACAGAAAAGTTTGTAGCTTATCAAAAATAAATAAAAAAAGCAACGTGGCAGAAAAATTTTAAAACTGCATTTAATACTGCAAAAACAGCAATCTTTTAAAGACAAAATATCCATATTTGTACAGGCACAATTTATATCATATGCACATTTTTTATAAAAGACTTCTAGGCTTCTCAAAAATTAAACATTTAATTGCCATATGATCCAGCAATTTCACTCCTAGGTACAGACCCCAAAAAATTGAAAATAGGAACTCAAGCAGATACTTAAACATCACTGTTCACTGAAGCATTATTCTTAATAGCCAAAAAGGGAGAAACGACCCAAGTGTTCATCCACAGATGAATGGATAAAAAAGTGATACATACAGAACATTACCCAGCCTAAAAAAATGAAATGAAGTTCATTTGAAATGCACACAAAAATCCCTTTTTTCATCCCTGAAACTTGAAGACTATGGTAGTGAATCAAGTCAAATACATAGTACAAACATTCTGAGTCCACTTCTATGAGGTAGCTAGAATAAGTAAGAGAGACACAGTAATGATTAGAGGAGTGGGTGAAGGAGGGATGGCCGGTCAGTGCTCTGTAATGGGTACCGTCTCCGTCTGCAGCGATGGAAGTCTGAAAGTAGTGGTGTGTTGTACAACATGAGTGTAATTAATGCCACTGAATGGTACACTTACAAGTAGGTTTATATGATGGATTTATGTAATATATTTTTAAAATAACAACAAAAAAGACTTGTCCTTATTAACAAGAAGAGTACAACATTGTTATTTGGCAACTAGAAATTTTACAACACATGCAAAGGAATATGTGTGTGTGTGTGTGTGTGTGTGTGTGTGTGTGTGTGTGTGTGTGTTGTGTGTCTATTTGCACTTACTAGGCTCTCTCTAGGTTGTAATTTGAGAGATCTTGGAATTTCAGGGGTAATTTCCACTGGAGTTATTCTGACTACTTCATGCATTTCTATATTTAGTTTCTTTCTCAGGTCATCTGGAATCTGAAATTAAAAACAAACAAAAATTCAAAGATGTAATTATGTTCAAAGCTTGATTAAAACACATCTCAGAGCATAAATATTATCAACCTCTACAAATGAGATGAAATTATTGAAGCTGTCATAGTGACTCATAGTTTTCTTAGTGTGCTTGGGCTGCTATAACAAAATACCATAAACTCTGCAGCTTACAAACAACAGAAACATCTTTCTCATGGTTCTTAAACTAAAGAGTCTAAGATTGGGGCCCTGGCAAATTTGGTGTCTGTTAGGGTTCTCTTCAGAGTCCTTCCTGTGAAGACATCCTTGTTGCTGTCTCTTCACATGATGGAAAGGTAAATTAGGCTTTTTCATTACAGGGTTTCTTTCATAAGAGCACTAATTCCATCCATAGAGGTTTCATCCTCATGACCTAATCAACTCCCAAAGTCTTACCTCCTAATACCCTTACCTTGGGGGTAACATGAGATTCAGGGGGACCCAAAGTTCAGAGTATGGCAAGAGTAAAACTAGATGGAAATATAGGTATTGTTATACAACAAACATTTCAATTTCTCCCCTCTTTTTCCTTACATATTGTTCAGAATTAGAACTTTAAATGGATGTACTTGACTCTGACTTTAAATGGATGTATTTCCAATCGAAATATCCTAAACCATAGCATAATTACATTTGATTACATTTTACTTGCAATCTTTTAAAAGTTTTCATCCATGCACGTTGAAAATCAATGAAAAAGCTGGAGTGGTCAAAACTAAACACAGAAAATCTACACAATTAAATCAAGGCAGAAACAATCTAAAAGGCAAAGGATAAAATTTGTCACCTCCATTGATGAATATATCCCAAACTTAGATTGTGGTGACATTTTACACAACCATTGTACTACAAACAATGAACAACACACTTTAAATTTTATCTCAACAAAGATGTTAAAAAATGTTCTCATCTCCCAAAGATTGGGACGCACTGAAAGACATAAAGACCTTAATCTTGCCAGGTGAGGTGGTGCATGCCTGTAATCCTAGTAGTTGGGAGGCAGAGGTAGGAAGATTGCCCTGAGTTTGAGGCCAGCTTGGGCTACACAGTGAGTTCAAAGACCAGTATGAACTATATAGTAAAACCCTGTCTCAAAACAAAAAACAAAAAACAAAAACAGACTTTAATATTCCTTTACTATCTATGCAATAGAGCAAGTACAGACATTAACAGTAGACAAAGGCATAAAACTAAGGTGCATATCCTGATTTAAAGACTAATCAATTTTAAAAATTAGACACTTCAAAACATCACATGGTATCCCAGAAATATATACAATTTTATGTACCGGTTTAAGATTTTTAATAATTTAAAAAAAGAATGAATTTAACAATCATGTTTTCTAAGACAAAAACAACCACAATAAAAAAAACATGCTTCACAGTGTAAGAAAAGTTCAAGTCAACGCTGTTAGTTCTATTCATAAGAGATCAATTTTGATCTCTCATGTCAAGCCTGAGTAAGGAAGGGCCAGACAGTAACTACTGTCACCTCTCCCTGCCTAGCACTCTTCAACCTTTAAAGCAGAGCCAAAAGTGCAGGCTCCTTACTGCTAGCTAGTCCCCAGGTCTTACCAGCAGCTCTTCTTCAGCCATCTTCACCATGACTTCAAGAAAGGAAAAGGATATTATTTTGTTTTAAATTAAGTTTATCGATACAAATTATGTATACCATATGATGACACTCTCAATGGGAAGGGCATTCTTATCTATGGAAGAAACCGCTAAATCATAACCTCGGCGTCAGACTATTTGAATTTGATAATGCAGTGGAATCTCACACACTGGTGATTTAAAGCTAACAGAAACAATAGTCTGGGGCTTTAGAAAACAATGGAGTACAGAGAAATTAAATTTTTAAATTACTTGCATAAAAGTTATAGGTAAAACCATAAGAGGAGATGAACTCCACAAAGGAGACAACCTTCTCTTTCTGTTTTTCTTCCCCATTCTAATAGGTTCCTTTCATCACCACAAAGTCTCAGTTCAGAGTGGTTCAAATAAAGGGGTGGTGACTCGTGTTACACCAATTTCTTCTCCCTGTCATACACAAGTTAAACCAGTAGCCACCAACAGGGTGAGCAGCTTCGAGATGCATTCCAATCTAAGCACCATCACAGGAAAGAAAAGGTTCTCTTCCTCTCCTAGGTATCTTTCCCAATACATAAAAAGTCCCTCCTTTGGCCTCAAGACCTTATGAACAAACCTTCTGTGGGTATTGAAGATGCAAGGCTCTGTAGGGTACTCCAAACCGAGCATGAGCCCTAAGCCAATCTACCTGGACTAGAATCCCACTTCTGCTCATAACCAGCTATGGAACCTCAGGCAGGTAATCCTGACCTTTCTGGATCTATACATATAAAACTTATTTGCTTTGGTAAATATACAATCTTTACCAAAAGATATAAAACAAGCAGAAATGTGTCCCCCTTTCAACTTAAAACACTGTATTTATTACATTGGTTTTCAATTTATGTATAAAGTATTATTCTAATTCAAAATCACAGGAAGTGTAAGCAGCATAAGTTTCTCCCCAAATTATAAAACTCATACTGACCCAAACTTTCCCAAGATGGAGAGCTTCTACATTTCTGGTGTATGTAATGGCATTCTTCAATTCCTCAAGTCCATTCCAGACTACCTTTAGCACACAGGTCTTTTCAGCTTCTTGGCTATGATCTGCACTATTCTGTTTTTGATCTAGTGGTTCTGTCATCTGCTTCTCTTTTTTTGGAAACAGGATATTCTGCTTTGTCTGACTTTGCTGTTGTTTTGGAGAAAGTAGCTTAACTAGCTTTCCATAGGTCACAGTAAAGCTGGGCTCAACATCAAAATATTCCTGGTCCCATGGAAATACATGAACAGCACAGTGTTTATGAAACACAGAAGTTGCTGGTGTGTTATGTATACTGGGAGGCTGTGATTTGCATACTCTGAAAATACTGTCCAGAGGAACCATCTCTGACTGCATATTTTTGAAAGCGCTGATTTCAGTTGAACCCCAGGATGCCTCTTGTTTCTTGTCAGATCCAAAAGAAAAAATGCTTCCTAGCATAGTCCACAAGCTTGGTATCAATGGTGAGTTAACTGAGTTTGTCTCATTAGACTCAGTGACTGCCACAGTATTTGACTGCAGCTGCTTGGTTTGAAATTCTTTTATCACTCCTTTTTGGTTTCTTCCATAACTATGAAATTTTCCACATGTATCATCTGCCTTTAAAAATGTTTCTGCTTTGGCCTGGCGTGTCTTTGGCTGAATAAGGAGCCTGGTATCAGCTTCCAGCCTTCCATATGTAACAGCTGGCATTAGTGCAACTGTGTAGAAAACAGAGCTCATCAGCGCAGGCTCACCTCTACTGGGGACTTAGTGCTGCTATAGTATAGGGCACGACAGTTGTTTTTATAACAGCACCTACCGATCTGGATAAATACGTAAGTTTGTTGATCAACCCAAACAGGAAAAATGGCTTTTGGAAAAACTATTCGAATTTGATCTAGAAGATGCTGTTCAAGAGAAGCAGCATGCAGCTCCTAGAACCAACCGAGAAAAAGATCAATTTACTTTACATTTTATCCTATGTCTAGTAAAGAAATCACAATCCATTTTATTTTAATAAACGTTGTGTATATTTAAGGTATACAACATGATGTTGTGGGATATACATAGTAAAAAAGCAAATTAACATATCCATCCATCTCCCAGTTACCCAATTTTTAAAAAAATTTTGTGGCAAGGCCAGTTAAAAACCCACTTAGCATGAACCCCAAATACAGTACAATTTTTAAATATATAGTCATGTTATACATTAGATCTCTATTCATTTTTTTATTGGAAATAAATAGGAAATCTTTTTTTTTCTTTTGGTACCAGCAATCAAACTTAGGACCTTGAACTGGCAAGGCTGGGAATGGCACCACAGAGCTAAATTCCCAGCCTTCTATCCATTTTTATAATTCAAAGTAGCTCAGAAAATATAATTATATATTTTGAAGTAACTGAATCTTAAAATGAGGGAACTCTTATTTTTCCTTTACCAGTATTTCCCAATCATCTGCTGAGAGGGGTTCCACTTCAACTTCGTGACAAGATACCACATGGGAACACGGCTTGAGAAATGCCTGGAAAAAATTAAAAATTTAAAACTACTTTCAAGAGATTATTTTGTATCCATAGAAAATAATAAGTTCTCTCTTTAGGTAAGGAGTATGTGTGTGTTGATGGTCTTTCATTAACAAATATTAAGTGCTTATTGTTAGTTAGGCCTTGATGTGTTCAGCATTTTAGAAAAAAACTGTTGCACAACTAGTTACAGAATACAGAAAACACATTCTAGCATGTTTTTCAAAAATAAAGATAATCATTGAAAAAACAAACATAAGTTTCAAAAAAGAAAAATGAGTGTCATTAAATTATGTCTTGAGTTTATACTCTATTTCTAGAAGTTTCACAACTATTAGCGTTATAACCAGTTTCAAGTCATGTTGCTTCTAGAAAAAACACACTGTAATAAAGACCAGAGACAGTTATTAATAGCCTATCTCTCACACAGCTAAAAGAAAATAAAACAAATATGCTCCCCTTTCTGGTCTACAGATATATGCAAAGTTAGTATATCTCAATAGTTTTTACTTTCTTTTCCCTTTGACAGACATTTCTGAAGATTAAGGGGGTAAAATCTAAAGCCACTGAGTGTTAGCCATTTTAGGTAAGCAGCCCTTACCTTTCTGCTTTTGTGGTAGCTTCTACTTCAAAAGAATGATTTTAAGGAAGCACAAAAGTAGCTTCTACCTACCAAAAAGTAAAGGACTGCAGCAAGCTCACTTTCTATTCCAATGTCTTCAGAAAATCAGGGAAGCCACTTAGAAGCCAATAGGAAATAAAAACAAGTAGGATTGTTTAGTGTACTAATTAAGATATCAAAATCAATAGGCAGCTGATGTTGCCTACAGGGAGCTGCCACATAATCAAAGCAAGCTAACCTGTAACCTGCTGGGCAATCCTGAGCAAATATATTTCACCTTCTTAGATTTGTAGACCAGGGCACCAAAGTCACTCATTTCTAAGGTCCTTTACGTATTGAAAAATTAAGATTCTAGAAAAAATTTAGGGTAAGCTAAAGACTAGTAGGAGGCTTATATATTTCTCATGAATGGCCCATTCTGATTAAGAAAACACAGTCTGTGTCCAGCCAGAACAAGGTGAAAAGACGTGCTCTAGGATGTACTGCTGTTAGAAATTGGTAACAGAGAGCAGTATCTTCCTCCATTAAAATTATAAAAGTATAAGCCCCCCTGACCTGGTAATTTGACTTTTTAAATATTTCACTCCATATCTGCAGGTTGAGTATTCCTAATTAAAAAAAACCTGAATCTAAAATGCTCTGAAATCTGAACCTTTATGAGCACAAGCTTTAAATTTTGGGCATTTCAGATTTTGGATTAAGGATGCTCAACCAGTAAAGCCAATGCAAATATTCCTAAATTTAAAAATCTCCAAAATCTCAAATGTGTTTGGTTCCAAGCATTTCAAGTAAGGGATAACAAACCTGCATATACAGGACTCTGAGGAAGCACCAAGTTGCTCCCGCCAACGAGAAGTTAAGGACTCCTGTGTTAGGCAGCCCATTTCTGTTCCTGTTAATGATTCTTTGGGAGACAGTGTCTTAGTGGCACTGGTACAATAGAGGATCATACATTTACAGGGAGATATTCAATCCATATCATTTGTTAACAGTCACCCCTTTACCTGTGGGTTCCCATCTGCAGATTCAATCAACTTGGGAAAATAATTGTGTGTCCTGAGCTGTGGATGTAGCTCAAGGGTGCTGCATCTGCCTGGCAAGCACAAGGTTCTGAGTTTGATCCCCAGTACAGGGGGTAAAAATTGTGTCTGTCCTGACCATTAATAGATGTTTTTGGTTGTCCTTATTCCCTAAATGATACAACTATTTACATACATGCAAATATTATACCACTGTGTATAAGGGACATGAACAACTAGAGACTAGATTCCATGGGGATCTTGGAACCAAGTTCCCACAGGTACGGAGGGATGGCTGTATGTGGAAAGGTATTTTTAATCAAGTAAGACTACAGGGAGCTACAAATATGCAAGAAACAAATGAAATTAAGTTCAATAATAGCAAGTAAAACTCAGTACAGTAATTAAAGGGAAAATAATTTTCATAAAAACAAAATTAGGGAAATTGGAAAGGGTAAAACAGAATACAAAATATTGACTTAGCAACAAAGGGTAATCAATTTGAATAGCCTAGACTGGTTAAAATAGTATGTTCATTGGATGTCATCTCAAATTCTTTAAAAATGTGAACTTTTATTTCCACTGCATATATGACATCAGAACAAAGTCACGGTCATCTTGTTTTGTGCTTACCTGTCCCCCATTTGAAAGTCCAAGATTCTGACCAAGTTGTCTGTTAATTTCAGCGACATTTTCACCCTGGTCATTCAAAAGCCTGCCTTCCACCCAGCTCAAGAATGCGGGCTGGAGACCACAGGTGATTTCTATAGCTTGATTCTATTTATAGAAGAAATGGGAGGGAAAAAAGATTTTTTAAGTTTTTAGATATTTGTCATGGACTCATATAAACTATCATTGTAATCCCCTCCCACAAAAACAGTTCTACAGGTCATTAATAGCTCAGTTATCAACAACTGTATAGTATTTTAAAAGTCATAATCATTTCAAACACCCAATGCTAGTAATGCTATGCACCAAATCAATACCTTTATATTCTCATGACATGAAAATATCATGATTCAAGCCTTTCAGAATTCACAATAGCAATAAGAGACTGGAGACTACTGCAGCTCAGTAGTAGAACACTTGCCTAGTACAAGAAGGGGCCCGGCTTTGATCCTCAGCACCACAAAAACAAAAACCAAATACCCCCATATGTCAATAGATAGCCAAATAAATTAGCCTTTGAGCCGTATACAACTATTTGAGTGTTCTAATTAATGTTTTAAAAAAGAAAAATAAAATACCAGAAAATATTTGTAGTATTTTCTGCAATAGTGAACACTTGGGACTGTCTTAAATGTGTATCAACAAAGAAGTTATTAAATTAGCTAAAATTTACTATGTTAGTAAACCATGAGTTAGGAAGTACAGAGGTTCCCTCTTCACTGCAGTTTTGCTTTTTTTTTTTTTCAGCTTTGAGTTTATTGGTACATTTTAGGGATACAGTACAGTTACATTCATTGTTGGGATCTTGTACCTCTACAGTTTTGCTTTCTGAAATTTCAGTTACACATAGTCAACCATGGTCCAAAAATATAAAAAGTTCCAGAAATAAATAGATTGCAAATTTTAAATTGTACAGTGCTCTGCATCGCACAAGGAAATCTCATTGTCCTGTTCCACTACCCTGGGCAGTGACTCACCCCTTCTTTTGTCCATTATATCTACACTGTGTCTAAGACCTGTCTGTTATTCACATCACAGGGGTCTGTTATCAAACAACTATCACAGCATCACAGTGTTTGCATTTAAGTAACTCTTCTTTTTCTTGACAATGGTCCCAGAGCACAAAACTAGTCATGCTGGCAATTTGGATGTGCCAAAGAAAAGTAGTAATGTGCTCCCTTTAAGTGAAAGGTGAAAGTTGTCAACTTACTAAGGAAAGAAAAAAATCATGTGCCGAAATAGCTAAGACTTACAGTAACAATGTTTGTTCTGTCTGTGAAATTGTGAAGGAAAAAAAAAAAAAACCACTGGTTAAGCTTCAGTCACAGTGCATAAGTGCTTAGCTGGGGTGGAAAAGGCATCAAATTTGTACGTGTATATAGAGGAAAAGACATGGCACAGACAGAGTTCAATGCTATCATTGGTTTCAGAAAATTCAGGGAGGTTTTGGAATGTAGCACCCACAGTTGAGGCTACTACTTTAAAAATAAATGATGCTTTAAAATGAAACAAGAGTTTTAGAATTACAACACAGCAATCAGATAAAATATGCAATCCTTTGATACTGACTGACTGATCAGAAGAGTAATAAATGCACACTGTAAAAATACAAAAAACACAAATAGCCAAAATGTGAAGGTAGGTCACCATTTCCAGAGGTAAGTATTATTAATAGCTTCTTGTGTATCTTTCCAGAAATGTTATATTATTCAGTCTCTTAAGTAATTCTGAAAGCCATAGAACCATGGGAACATATCTATAAGTTTTAAAAAATCAATATTTAAAATTTATTTTCATTAAAAGAAAAATTATATAAAATATGTAACTTTGTGTTCAATGACTACTCCTTACAAAAACTTGGAAAATTTATGAAGTTGGAAAGAAAAGAAAGGAATTACTTATGTTCTCTCCACAAAGACAATCATATGAACAATTGTAATTCTTTCTGTTTTTCTTTATTCACAAGTTATTTTTTGCAAAGTTGCATAATGTAAGCAAAATTTAACATCTTTTTCTTCCATTTAATATTCCATCATGAGAATTTTTAATAAAAAAAGACCTGCTGACACCCACCAAGATTATCATCTCAGAAAGCTTCAGTATTATTAAATTCATCGACTTATGCCAAAGTAAATTCATTAAACTTAAAACATTAGGCTATCAAATTCATTCATTTACACCAAATTTTACTACCATATGATTCTCTAAATTGGACCAAGTTTGAAGAACTTTGAAGAACTTCTAAGGCAAAATTATGTTGACAGTCAATGGCACTGTGCCTGCCTTGTAAGCACAAGGTCATGAGTTCGATTCCTGGTACAAAAAATACCCTCAAAATTACGCACTTGAAATTATTCATGTTTTTAAGACTTTGTATACAAGAAAGTCATTATGTATCGCTTAGTTGTATAATTTTTCTCACAATTTTCACAGAATAGTCCAATTGTTTTGGCTGGCAAAATTTCTGAGTGCAATCAGAAAAATTAGAAAGAGCACTGAACTTACAGTCAAAAGTTAATACATTACTATCTCAGCTGTAATTGCGTAAGCTGAGGTTATGAGAGTGAAGGTAACCAAGCCCTCAGGTGCTTTCTACAGTTTCATCAGTCAGTAGTATATAATCAAGACCAATTCTACTTCATATGAGGAAACCTTTAAAATCAGAATATCAAATGAGGAAATATGAAATATGCCCTGAAATGTCAAAAAAGAGATTCCTATCAATTCACTAAAACCAAGAATAATCAACTTTACTAACCAGAAAAATATTTCAATTATTTGGTTAAACTGAGATAACTAGCCCCATAATCTATGGCTGAGTTAGATTTGGCTGAGTTAGATTTGGTTAGTTTGCAAATTTGATTTTATGTCAATATATTTTCCACTTGAACCATACAGCCCTTGGCCCTTCAGGTAGAGAGACCAGAAAAGGAGCACCTTTTCCAGGAGTTTCATCAGTAAATACATGAATTGCTTCCTTTGACACAAACCATGGCATCAGTATCGCTGTGAAGGAAATCTTCAGGTGAAACTTGATGTTGAAGTTCTGTAGGAGTCCCCAGGTCCAAGGCCTGGTGAAATCTCTTGCTGATGCAAGGAAAGGATAATCTAATTTGTATGTGGCCATTTCTGGATGGTGATTTAGGTTCCTGTTTGTACTTGGTGTAGATATGAATCTTCTTCCCCTGTTGCAATCACAGCAAGTCCTGAGCTCATAGTACAGACAAGCAACCGAATTTGGCAATGTTTTAGATGTTTTTTAATGTCACAAATAGGTGGAGAGGTGCTACTGGCCTCTATGCTTTCCAACTCAATAATTCTAGGAATGTATTCTACATAATCAGTAATGAAACAATGCTTTATAACAAACATTGCTACCTTAAAGTTTCATTAAAATATTCCATACCACTCTTTATTTCTGAACATTGAGCACAATCTAAATGGTCAATCACAGTGAAGAAATTATGGTGAGTTTGTGCTAGAATACTAATTACTAAAACAGTAACTTTTTAACCAAATAAAGCACTCCACCATATAAACATAATATGTGCACACGTACATAGGACACTTCTCTAAAAGATAAAGATTAGAAAAAGACTTGGAAGACCGGCCCCAAACTGTTAATAGTAGTTACATCTAGGTTCTGGGATGATGAGTAAATGACTTTTTTGTTAATAATTTTCCACAAAACACATGTATACCTGGTGACTGGAAGAAAAAGGTGGCCTATTCTGCTGATACAGGCTGAGAAGAAATAGCAATTTATTCCAGAGCTAATAGCATTTAAATTTCAAAAAGATATCCATGAATTAATACCTATGAATTCTTTTTGAGGGCTCTCAATTTAAAACAAAGATCAAGTTTACAATGCTTCAACAGGGATGAATGTAAGGTAACAACCACATCTTAGGATCAAATTCCTAGAATTACAGTATGAAACATCTGATAATCTCATTAGGTTTTTTGTTTTTGTACCGGGAATTGAACTCTGGCCCTTGGACTCGCAAGGCAGGCGGCAGAACCACTGAGCTAAATCCCTGGCCCTCATGAGGTCTGAATTGTAAAGAAAGTAAGTTGAAAATCTCCAGCAGCTCCTAAAGCACTAAATCAAGTTCTGGAACTTGCTGATAGTGACTGATTCGGAGTCATAGGAAAGCTTATCAGAAACAAAAGACTGTTTATTTAATGATCAAAAATTAATAATAACAAGAGTGGAAGGATTCTGTTGAATTTGGTGTTTTGAAAGATGGACCAAAAACCATAAAAATAAGCTACAGAGAAGTAGCTCCAGAGGAAAGCTGGAATAATTCTTGATATTACCACGAACTCTTAAAATATTTCTTGTTCGCATTAGGCAGTGGTGGGCACCACACGTCCAAGATGTGTGAAGATTTCAAATATTCTATCTTTTCGCCTAATGAACACAAACTCGAGACCATGTGCATCTACTTCTAACTATGGAAATATGGAGGCTGTATCTACATCCGTGCTTACAACTGTGAAGCACGACAACCACAAAGTCCAGAAGGGTGCCTCGCGGAGGGGGTCCACGCGGCCCAACTGCGGAGAGGGGTGTGCAGAATTCCGCCGACACCGCGCGCCGGAGGTACAGCGGCGCGGGGAGCGGCTGTCACTTTATTAACCTTTACGGCGTGGGACGCGGCGCTCAGTCCCCACCAGCCTCCGGCTCCAACAGCTCAGGTCAGCCCTTCGGGGGCAGCCAGCAGCAGCAGCGGATACTTGAAATCTCTAACAGGAAAAACATTTTTTTTTGGTACGGGGGATCGAACTCAGGACCATGCACTCGCGAGGCAGCCGGCGGAACCACTGAGCTAAATCCCCGGCCCAAAACACTTTTAAAATAAGAAAAACGTGCGAGTCCTCCAGAGCTTTTCTAACCCGGACGAGGAACACTTCCGAGGAAGGAAGGAATACCGCGCGAGGACGTCTCAGAGCCTAGTCGACCGAGGGACACCACCCCGGCTGGGTG